TACCTCTTATTGGCCCAAAATGGGTCACGTGTCCATGCCTCACCCAATCATGTGGCCAAGAATCTAAGGCAGGCTAACTGTATTAGTCGGAATCCAACATGGAGCTGAGTATGAGTTGGTCCTGCCAATCTACGTGGCTGAGAATGTGAGCGAAGTGAATTCTCCAATTAAGGGAAGGGTGCTGATTCCAGAGAGGCATCAAACAAGGCCATGATATCTAGCAAAGGAACTTGGAGCATCAGGGAATCTTTCATGAACAGAGAACAGCGTTATGATTTAGAAGCCAAAAGGCTAACAGAGTGTAGCTTTCTGAGGTAACTGCTGGGTCAGGAGACCTGGCTGGACTGGGGCTCCGATGCTTATTAAGTTAGCCAACATTTCTGAGTCTCAGATGCCTTACCTGTCTAGTGTGAAAATGATTCCAGTCCTCTAGTTATTGGAGGAATAAATGAGAGAATATTTTCAGAAAGGCTTTGAACAATATAAAAAATATAGGGATATGAATTATGGTGTTTTTGCTACTAAAGACCATAGCAGAAATAAATAAATCCCAAATGCATTGTTTCCATTTAAAGATGGATTTCTGAAGCTAATATTCGTGCAAAGTAAAATTTCGGTTGGACCATCAATAATAATCAGTTGAGTATGATAAAATATAGAGTATGATAAAAGTACTAAACACTAATATCTATCAGGGGCTTATTATGTGCCAGGCAGTGTTCTACACATTCTTCATATATAATTCATTTAATCTTTAAACAATCTTATGAGTTAAATGCCATTATTATCTTAATTTTATAGGTGAGGAAACTAAGCCACAGAGGGGTTAAAAAACTTGCCCAACATCCCCCAGCTAACAATGGTAGACCTGGGGTTCAAATCTAGGCAGCCTGTCTCTAGAACCTCGACTCTGAACCACTCTATTATCTATAGCTTACAGTCAAATGATGGAGCCGAATTTATCGCCACCATTTTGTGCACTAAAGTATCTAATGAACACAAAATACATTAATGGACTCATTTGCCTGTGAAAATAAATAACTAAATAGAAGCATTTATTATGTTGGTATTTTTTCTTGTGCTGACTTGGTTCTTTGGCTTTGGTCATTGGGTGTGTGGACACAGCCCACAGCAAAAGCATGTTATTTGTGGGATTACAGTTTGTAGAACAGAAAAAGTTTGGAATCAAAGGACTAGAATTACAGGCACAGCTCAATGAATTACCAGCTATAACTGTGTCACATTTTTATTTTCTTATTTGTAAAGTAGAGATGGCGTCTACTTCAGAGTGAATGTGGGGCCAAATTCAAATGGTGCATAAGACTGTGCTTGGAGAGCTCAAGCACTATATAGATGTAAGACATGTATGAATTTCTTATTAATAATGCTCTTAGAGACCATTTGTGTGATTAATGAATTATGTTCCATAGGAACAGATTTTAATACTGTATTTCCATATTAATGGAACAGATTTTAATACTCTATTTCCATGGGATTGTGCTTTTAAATTTCCTTGGAGTCTGGCCCTCCTAAGTGGCCTGATTTCTTTCTATGGAGCTGTCTGGACCAACCATCAGTATGAGGTAATAGATTACCTTCCCTACTTCGGGGTTCCCCTGAAATCAGCATAAACCAATGCTTCATGGAGGTCCTTGAGGAGGGATGGTAGCTTGTATAAGCACACAAATATCTAGCCTCTCAGGCCCAGACTCCTGGTTAGCACCACTGCTGGATTCACCTATGGGTATCAATATTTCATCCCCTTAAAACCACATGCTGTTTCCCATCTTACTTGGTTTATCAGTTGGTGTTCCATAGTGGGTATTTGAGTGGGGTTCTGTTTGTTTCGCTGTGTTATCATCTAAATTCTATTTATTTTTATTCTGGTAAAAAAAGTTCCCACAATGATTTGGGCAAGTTTAACCCAGTGCTCTGCCAGACCTGGTGAGTAACAGCCATTAAGTTAAGTATAAGCTGGTTGTGAAACGTGGCCATTAGTAAAAATTAAATACATAAGCACAATTCAATAACATACTAAGAGAAAAACGTTGATGGCTCGAAATCAGCCATACTAAGAGTATTTACACTAGAGAATTCAGCAAATGCAGCAAATCAGGGCTTTTCCTCCCAGAATCTTAGTTTAGCCCTCTCTCAGCTCCAGGGGTAAGTCTTGATTGAAACCAATCAGTAAGTTCCATTCCTCTGACCACAGCAAAAGGCTGATTTGGGCCAATGAGTATTTGAGCCAAGATTTTATTTGCTATGGAGAAGATGAAGCTGTTGTCCCTGCGTGGGCGCAACCACCAGGGCAGAGTCAGTCCTAGAAACAATCTAACACACGGAGGAAAGCAGACAGAACCTGAGAGATGGAAGGCCTGCGTTTTGGGTATGTCACTTGAGCCCCCCGGATTAAGCCACACCTGACTTTTCTGCTTTGTCAGGAATCAGAGAACTTTTCCCGTAGGGCCAATAGCAAAAGTTTTAAACCTTTTAGGTCATATTGTTTGTCAAAGCTACTTATCTCTGCTATTGCAGCACAAAAGCCATAAATGGTACATAAACCCATGGGCATAGTTGTGTTCTAACAGAACTATTTACACAGGATTTGTCTTAAGAGCAATAGTTTACAGATTCCTCCTCTGAGGCACTTTTTTTTTTTTTTTTTTAACCTATTTGGCTTGGGTTTTCTAACACTTGTAACTGAAAAAGGCTTGAATGATCCAGCTTCTTGGGTTGTGGACAATAGAAATAACCTCTGAATTCCTTAAGGAAAAACAGAGATTTATTATCACAATAAAAGGTAGCCAAAATTCAGATTCCCAGGACAGGGAGTCCCATTGTACTAGCTCAGGTCATATGTCTAGAGGAGGGAGATTTGCCAGTCCTTCTGAGGTCACATGCAGAGAGAAGGGTTGTTTCTATAGGGAAAATTAGGGGCTATAATCAGAAGGTCTGGCACTAGGGGCTGTATTTACCCCATGAAGACAGGGAAAAGTTCTCAAACCAAGTACATTCAGTAGACATCCTATACAAGAAGCTCATCAAAGGCAGTTTTGTGTGTTAGAGAAAGGCTCTCTTTGACAAAAGACCTACATCCCAGTTGTTCTCGGCCACAAACATGCTGTGTTGCCCTGGTCAAGACAGGAGATTTCTCTGGGCCATAGTCCTTTAAGTACAAGAAGAAGATGATGAATCTTTAAGGCCCCTTTGAGAGCCAAGTTTTGAAGGTTGTTTCCATATATCATTTATCTTGCCTGTTAATCTCTAAGATTTCATACTCTGTGCCCTATGGTTCACCTTTCTGCATAATCACTAGCTGTGGGAGCTCCCTCCCTCCTGGAACTTAATTTCAGTGAGTACGAATTTCCTCATCTGTTAATGGCCCTTAGTCTGGAAAGTGAGGATGAGAATTATGTTTGCTACATGCTTAGAAAGGCAGTGCGTGTACTGGTTCAGAGTAGGGGTTTTGGAATTAGGTTAGAGGAACTCCATCTTTGTTTAACCTTTTTCTTACTGTATACCATTGAGCAGTTTATTTAAACTCTTAGAATCTTTGTTTCCTTATCTGTAAAATGTAAATATTTATCGAACCCTCTCCATGGCGTTGTCGTGTGAATTAAATGAGACATTGCATATAATATGCTTAGCATAGAGCCTGGCACATAGTAGGTCATCTGTAAGGGGTAATCGTTTATTATAATTGCTTGTAATGATTTTATCTGGTTTTTAGAAATAGGTTCCTGATAGAAAGTTTCTCCTGTTTTTTACTGTTCTTATTATGAAATTTTTCAAAAGTAATTCTTTGGGTTTTGATGATTTTGATTGCTTTTAGTTATTTCTCTAAAACCGTAAAAGTAATAATGGCTATTTTTAAAAAAATATTTGATTTTATAATCATTATAGTAGGATGCTTTCAGTTAAAGTAACAGATTTATATAAGAAAGGGCATTTATTGGCCTATATAATTGCAAAGTCATCTAAAGCTTAATACAGCACTCAAAAATGTCACCAAAGATTGTTTTCTTCCTCTCTCCACTCTGCCTCCCAGGGGATGGTTTCATGGTAAAACCATCTCAAGGCATGGCCATCGATGGTTTCCAGTAGATTCAGGGGCTGCCTGCTTCCTCTTCCACATCCTAAAGAAAGAAAAAAGGTCTCTCCCAGCAGCTTTTTCAGAAAAGCAGAAAGTTTCTTTCCCATAAGCCTCCAACAAATGTCTTTGCAAGCCTCATTTGCCCAGATTAGGTCATGAATTCATTCCTGAACGAAACTGTGCCCACGGAGGTTATGTATCACCAATGTGATGAACTTTTTGAGTGGCCCCACTGTCTTAGAGAGTCATGGAAAGGACTATGACAGATATTCTCGAGTACAGTCTTCTGATGACATTGTCTAAATAACTTTAAGATCATACTTCTGGACCGAGTAAGGATTACCAGAACTAATGAAGAAGCTGACAAATTTGCCACAGATGAAGCTGGAGCAGTTGCTGGTTCTCTTAGAGGTGACTTTGACATCTAAGGGGCAGAGAACAGTGGCTGGGAATATCCTCTGGCATTGAACGAGCCTGGGTCTGAGACCCAGATCCTCTCCTGTGTAAACTGAGTGATATTCTTAACCATCCATACTTAATTTATTATAGATTCTAAATCCATTGTTTCCTAACTATACTGCCAATCCATCCATTTCTCTCCATTGCCATTGCCCTTCCTTACTTCGATCCACCACCATCTCTTATCTAATCCACAGGAATCTTCTGCCTGGTCTTTCTCCTTACATTGTTGCTTTCTGTGTTCGATAGGATTAGCTTTGGTTGAGAGTGACAGAGCATCCAAAATAACATGGCTTAAACCCAACTAAGAAGGTAATTTTTTCTCTTATAAAATCTAGGTACCCCACTGTACGTCCATTAGAATACCTAAAATTTTAAACATTAACAATACCAACTATTGGCAAGGATGTGGAGCAGCTAACACCCTCATTCGCTGCTCATTGGAAACGGAAAATTGGCTGTTTCTCATATTGTTAAATAGACACCTACTATATGACCCAGACATTCCACTCCTTGATATTTACCTAGAGAAATGAATCATGTGTCTACACAGAGATTAGTACATAAATGTTCATTAAAAACAGCTTTGTTTGTAATAGGCCCAAACAGTCGACAACACAAATGTCAACTGGTGAATGGATTAAACAAGGTGTGGTATATTCATACAATAGAATACTACTCAGCAATAAGAAGGAAAGAACTATTGATAACAACATGGACGAATCTCTAAATAATTACGTTGAATAAAAGAAGCTAGACAAAAAAGTAAGTATATACTGTATGATTCCATTTATATAAAGTTCTAGAACATTAAAACTAGTCTATAGTGACAGAAAGCAGGTCAGTGGTTGTCTCATGCTGGGAGTAGAGGGAGCGGTGAATGGCAAAGGGGCATGGAAATCTTTTGGGGATGATAGAAGTGTTCTGAATCTTGGTTCTGTTGGTGGTTACACAGATGTATACAACTGTCAGAACACACTGAATAGTATACTCTATATGAATGCAGGATTTTTTTCATATATAAAACTGTATATAAATTATATCTCAATTAATTAAAAAGTCACAGGAGCAGTCCAGGGCTGGTAAAGCTCTCCACGGTGTCAGGAACCCAGGATCCTTTTTTCTCCTTGCTCTATCATGCATGGCTTCTCCTTCATGGTCTAAGATGGCAGCATCTGGTTTCCAGGCTGCAGGATGGAGGAAGAGAAAAGAAGAAGGCAAAGAGCACATGCAATTTGCTTCTTAAAAAGAGAGTCTTAAATGCTCCTTCCACCTGACAATTCTGCTTGCATGCCCATTGGCCATAATTTAGTCACATGGACATACCTACCTAGTTGCAAAGGATGCTGCGAAACATAGTCTTTATCCCAGATGGTCCCATAGACGAAAGGAAAAACAGATATTGAAAGACAATTAGCTAAGTCAGAACTCTTCAATGGCCTTTCACTGCTCTCAGAATGAAGTCCCAAGAGGTTCCTTGCCATGGCCTCCCAAGTCCTACATGATCTGGCCCTTGCCTACATTTGTACCTTACTCTCTTCTATTTTGGAACTCCAGCCTTTAGCTCCTCTAGCCCACCAGCAGAGTTTTATATGCCATTTCTCTCTGCGTGGAACACTTTTCCTTCCCTCTTTGCCTAGTTAACTACTCTTTATCCTTCAGCTCCCAGTTCATCCTGACTCCTGAGCTTAGGTCAGATTCCTTGTTTGTTTCATTCTTACCTTCCTCACATAGCACTCCTCACAGTTGGGAATTTTGTATTAGTGTGACATTTTGATCACTATCTTTTCTCACACACTAGACTGTAAGCTCCGTTTTGTTCACCTTTGTATTCCAGTGTCTAAACCAGTACCTAACAAAGCAGAAGGAGTTAGACACACCTTTACTGAGTGAATGAATGAACTTTATCTTGATTGAAGTGAGGATGCTAAGAAGCAGTTTTGTTGTTCCATTGAGACTTGTCTGCAAAACAACTCAATCACCTTTGTTAGGGGTCGGTTTTGAAAGACTCAGCAGTTCTTCATTTAATCATTTACTCTGTTCCTCCACCTAAATTTTCATTTCAGTCACCATTTAAATTTATGTGGAGATTCTTCTGTAAATATTGTCTGCTTGGGTGGTAGGGTAGGGGTTAGCAGTGATGTAAAATGAGTAAGTTTGTGGAAATAAAAGTTATTGTGCAGTTCATTAACTCCTTTTTCTCTGTGGGGGAAATTTAAATTATTTAGGATAGGAACAGAAGTGGTGTGAGAAGGCTCAGGTGAAGGTAGCCACATGCTGTGATATGCTTATGTCGTTCATTTAACTTGGAAGGCAACTCTCTGTTGATTTACCTGAGGGACAAATTATTCTCAAGTACATGGTATTCATTTAGATGCAGATACAGTGTGATCTACTTAAGTGAGAGTTTTGACAATATATTAATGGATTCAGAAAAACAGGTTTTCCATAATGTGACTCGTGTTTTGCCAACTATATAATAAGCAAACGTGAAAAATACTTTTCTTTATAAATATTTTCTTATTCAGAGTTTCCTTAATTTACAAAACTTTGCCACAGTTAACCCAATTAGTGGGTTTTCTTATCATTTCAGTAGAAATACCCTGATCTAATCTTGCATATTCCTCAGAACAAGGTCAGGAAATAAATAGAAGACTTGAGATAAAAACAGAAGAAGAGATAGGAGTGGGGGTTGGGGAAGCAGCTGAGTGTTTCTTGGTGAGAGTGCCGGTCTGGAAACACCTTTCTGTGGGTGCTGGATAAGTTGCCACTGGCCCAGGGCATCCCAGATGTGGTTCATTTTGCATCACCTTCATCATTTTGGTCATGTCAGCCAACAAATCACGCATCGTTAACTTAAATAAGATGGATTCTGGTTTTCAAACTTAAATTTACTTAGGCAAACTAAATTTATTGTAGAGGAAAATGTATAATGCCAACTCCGGCAGGTCAGGGACTTTTCTGTTCTGCTTTCTGCTGTTTTCTCTCAGAGCATAATATAGCACCTCATAAGTACTCAAGGAATGTTTGTTGAATGAATGAATAAATGTCATTATCATCAATAGGAACTCAAGTATTTCTCTAAGACAAGTTGTCAATATGTAGCTATTACAAACAATTAAAATGGTCATCTACTTTCCATGTAAATTCCTCTTGCATGCCACCAGCACCATATACTATGCACCACACTTTTCAAGGCCACATAGCAAGTACACAGCAAAAATGATCTCATTTCACCATTTTCTTATGGTTTTTCTCACTCTCTAGATAGGTAACTCCATTCTTAAAAGTTTTATCTACCTCTGTATCCTCAGCACTTAGCACAGTATTTATAAGTATGCATGTAATGGTATGTATAATCATTATTATATTCCCTGACTACTCATCTATATATATGTATATGAAATCTTGAACCTGCACACAGAACTTTCTCTTAAGTCTCGTTGGTCTTAACTAAATCAGAACGTAGTCACATGGCTGCACCCAGCTACAAGTGAGGCTGAGAAGTATAATCCATTCTGGGCAAATAAATTAGATGTTCTGTTAAAGAAGAAGGGATGATATCTAGTAGTCTCTACTGTAACCTGACGATGAAGGCCTTTTTCAATCAATTATCAACTAGATTTCAAGATTTTCCTCACCCACTAGCTGTTCTGAACACCTGGTCCCCTCTGCTCATTGTGCCTGAAACGCACCTGCTACTTTGTCACCATCTCCTTGTTTACTCAGCCCTCCTGGAATGACTTTTTGCTTCATATCCAAGCCACACCTATGTTTCCATGAGATTCTCCATTGACCGCTGGAATCCGAGAGGATTCCTTCTGAAGCTGATCTCATCCAGCCATGACCATGTACGTGATTTGTTCATATGGCCACTCTCTTCTGCCTTGGATGGCTCTTCTTTCGGTGACTCAAATAGCATAAGTCTTTTGTTGTTAATTTCTTACGCATTCAGGTCTCGTCCCCACCCCCACCCCACATTCTGGATTCCCTGAGGACAGGAGCCCTTGACTCGCTTGACACACATTCCTTGGCTTCTTACCTCACATTTGGCTCTGTGCCTGGTATTAGGGACTCAGTAGTGACTAAGACACAGGGCCTCTCCTCAAAGTCCTAATGGAGTCTGATTTTAAAACTTGCACGTGTTAACTGCTTTATACATTTCTATTCCTTTGTTGAGCAAAAAGAGTTGACATTTATTTAAATAAGTATCACTTACATTCCTAACAACATTATTTTGAGTAATTACTATGTGTTAGGCACTATGCTAGCCTTTCACATGTATCATTTCATTTCTTTCTTATGACAACTATGAGATAGGCACCATTAATTTTTACAAATAAAAACCAAGGCACAGAGAGGTTATGTTATTCGTTCAAAGTCACACAGCTGAATCCAGGCAGCTTGAGTCCTGAGCTATTAGTTACAGGAAGTAGGAAGTTACTGGAAAGTAAGAGTCATCTCAGGATTAGAAGATTTAGTGGCATCATTAAAAACAGCCATTCACAATTCGGACTTTGCCTGCATCGTGTCCCACCAGGAAGCTTTCCTAGGCTGGGATGCCCTTTCCCTGGGGAGTGCTCCCAGGCTGGGCGCTGCCAACCTCCTGCTCCCCATCTGAATCTCAGCTGTGCCCTTTCTCTTCTCTTTTGATTATTAAATCCTACTTTGGATACACTAAAGTCGATTCACCCACCTCTGTATTTAATGGCAGCTGCATAGCTTGGATCTCGTCCATTCTACGGTGACAGGAGGGAGTATATGAGTAGACGAGGCAGTCTGGAGGCTCCCAGCTGGATCAGGACGACTGACTTCTGTTTTGCCCAGTGTTTAACATTTTTAAAAAATTTATTGTCAGTATTTACAAATTAGAAGATGTCATGCAAAATCTGGATTTTTGGCTTCTTCGGACACACTGGAAGATTTGGGAGACATTGAGTCTGTATGTCTACAGGCTCAGGCTGCCAACTTCGATGGAGAATGTTCCATCTGAACTGACAGTGCTTTTCTCCCTATTATCCAGGTACCTACAGCCATGTTCATTTTTCTTAACAGCAAATAATAATAATACAAAGTGCACATGTACATAGAGCTATATGTCAGATACCATTCTAAGTGCCTTGGCTTCCATCACCACAGTCACCTGTGGAAGAAGTAGTATTACTGTCCCACTTTACAGATGGGAAAATTAAAGTTCAGACTAATAATAGTGGAAGGGCTGGGACTTTCACCCAGGCGCTCTGGCTCTACAGTCTTTGCTTTTAAGCACTACCCAGCTACCTTTCAATGCAGCCCTGGGATTTGAGTCCCTGCTCTAAAGGAAGAGGGAAGCAGAGAGGAGACTTGGCTTTTTCCCTTGTGCTGCCTAAAGCTGACTCATTGAAAACACAAAACCACAGAGCTGATTTCCCATACAAATAGCACGCAAGCAGGGAAAGGACGCTTTCCCACATCGCTCTGAACAAAGCTGAACCTGCACCAGAGAAAATCAAGGCAGTGAAAGGACCCTGGGTGAACATCTGGCAGTGTCTTCGGAGTCACCTCAGAGCCAGCTGTGGTGGAAGTTTTCCCTTCTCTCTCTTTCTCCTCCCTCTTGGAACAGAGGGAATTTATCCTACTACATCTTCATCCAACTATCACTTGAAACATTAGCCCATAAACAAGTGTAATCCATCTCAATCCTGATTCTCTCCCTGGGAGACGGGTGGGGATGAAATATGGTGCCAGGCTGAGCGAGCATCTCAGCCTTCACACTGGTGTCCAAGGTGGTCGTCCAGCCTGCCTGAGTCCCCCTTGGGCTGTGAAGACTGAGCATGAGAGAGTGTTTCATTTGGTCAGGTTACCTGTCTGCCAGCCTCTGGAAACTAAGCCCTCTCCATGCACTCCAAGGCAGAGGCAGAGGGAATATAACTAGTTCAGGTAGGAGACAGCTATCACAACACCCAGTGGGGACAAGTGTCTCTAAAGCTATTCACTGAGCGCTTCAGTGAGCCAGGTGCTGTGGATGCAAAGACAGATAAGCCTGTGGCATAGCTAGGAAAATCGTAAGATTCTAGACCAGAGCTCATTGGAGGGTGAAGAACACAGGCTTGAACTGAAACCATCTGGGCCTAACTGGGGCATACAGTCACTATATGAGCACTGATGGCTCTGAAACTCCCTATTTTGAATCTGGCCAAGTGACCTTGAACAAGTTTACCTCTGAGCCTATTTCTTGTGTAAAATGAGGGTGCTAACAGTCCCAAATTCTTACCTCTCAAGAATGTCGTGGGGATTATATCCAATAATGTAGTGGTTGGAACGGGCTGAGAACCTCTGTCCCTCGAGGGACATGCTTGAGGACAATTAGCAGGGACTACCTGATGGGCTTTGCCAAGGTGAGAGATAGTGTTTAATGGCTCTGGGAAATCAAGAGAATTATGGAGGCTGAGGGTGGGGAAGAGAAAGAGGAGAAACGAAGAGACAACTGGAAGAAGAAAGAAATTTGGGGGGAGCGGTGGGAGGGAAAAACTAATGGGGAATTTTAAGTTACTGGTTTGTGTTAAACACTATTATTCCAAGACTGCATGCCCACCTCTGCATAAGGCCTTCAGTGGAAGAGCGATTGCTCATGAATGCCTTCTAGAAGGGAGAGCTCTTGGAAGATGGAACAACCTCAAGGTGGATGGGTAATGACAGCTGAGACCCCAGGTGACAGCTCACTCCCTGTGGAGTTCACGAATGTCAAGGACTTAGCCTCCTGCTGGTCCACGTGGAAGTCTCCATAAATGTTAGCTCTTATTATCCCGATCGTTCTTATGTAGGCCATGTTCTGTCTGTCAGCATTAACCTGGAAATACAAAGCAGTAGGGCAGACAGGATGGAAAAAATGGCCCATGAGAACAAAGGGGAGTTTTTTGGCAATACAGCATTCCTGGAGAAGCCTAGCGTTCAGCAGAACCGGCTTCAGGAAATCCTAGACCGGCCTTGAGCAGCTCCAAGACTGGCCAGGCCCACCTCGGTAAGAATCTGGTGGCACTCTTCCCAGATTGGTTGTTCACAGAATGAGAAGAATGTTAATTAATCCTGTTATCTGAGCTGAATACTTTCTGGTTTAATTTCTGTGATAAAACTACCCTGAATGGAGAGCTCTCAGAATACCAAAGGAGGCCTTATTATGGGATTCCTGAGGCGCAGTGAGACCTGGACGGAGTGGGGGTGGGGAGGGTAAACATTTTGGGTTCAGCACTGACTCTTTCCTCTCAGTATTCTGACTGGAGATCCTTTACCATTCAGTCTTCTTGCCCCATTAAACATGGCCACACTTCAGAAAAGAATGGGAAAATATAAATTCATTGAGAGAAAGAAAGAGAGAGAAAGGGAAGAAGGGAAGAAGGGAGGGAGGGAGGAAGGAAGGAAAAAAGAAAGGAAGGAAGAAAGGAAAAAATCCTAGTTCAAAATCTGTAAGGACATACATGTAGGAAATGCAAAATTTAGAATACGGAGTTACCTAAAATTTTTGCACCAGATTTAATAATCATGTAATTGGTGTGTGCGCATACATGTGCCAGGGACTATATTCTTTATAGTACTACGTCTGTAATTTACTCTAAAACACTTCAGCATAGACGGTGTGATTTGTATGTATATTATTTGAAGTGACACCCCTTGGCAGCTACCATTCTAATGACGCATCTGCTCACCTCGGGTGGTCAGCTAGAATTACATCAGAAAAGTCTCACTTCAAAAGAGGCTTTGGCTATCTTAAACTCTGAGAAACACCAAGTTTTACCAGTTAGTGAATTAAGTTTCAGAAATGGATTTTTATTTGTGAAATTATTAGCATGTTGACAGATGTAATGGATATCAGAAAAAGGACTCTCAATTACTATTGGTGAGTGCTATTCGAAATTTGTAGATTGCCTAAAATGTTTTATCATTGATACTCCCCGCTTGTGTGAAAAGTACTATATATAAGAATTTAAGTCTTGACTCCTCACTGGTCCTCTATCTAACTATTTGAAGAATTTCTTCATTGTCTGAGGCTGACTATAAGGGTTCCACAACCCCGCATCTGAAATCTTGGGGGCCCTTTCATGTGTTAAAAACAAGACAACTGACCCAAAATGGAGGTGCTTATGCTAAGCCCTGCATCATCATACCAAAACTTAATTATGGTTTTAGCTCTTCCAGAAATGGAACCTTAAAGCAATCAATCAGGAATCACTTGATCAGCACTAGTTAGGTCATCTGCCTGATAGAAACCTGCATCCACTGAAGGAAAGTGACCTCAAAATAACTAAGCTAATTTTTTGCCTAGTATGACTTCCTTATTTCTGCTCCCTTCTGCCTATAAAAGTTTTTCATTTTGTACAGCTCCTCATAGCTGCTTCCTATATGCTAGATTGGATTCTGCCTGATTCGAGTAGATCGTTGCTCAAATAAACTCTTAAACTTTTTAATATGCCTCAGCCTATCCTTTAACACATGCAAGGTAGTGGTTGGTCTGAGCAGCTAAAAAGATGAGAAGGGACATCAGCTGAGCGTATATAGCACAGCTGTAGAAGCTCTATTATTCCTATTCACTAACAAGATTTTAGCAAATGTTGGTACTG